CTTTACTAGTTGTAGTCTTTACTAGTTGTAGGCATTACTAGTTGTAGGCACTACTAGTTGTAGCGCATATTAATTTTCGTTCATGTTTGTTAGAGCAGTTACTAATTGAAGCAGTTGCTAGTTTTACCACCTGGCATTTTAGCTGAAGCATTTACTATATTTTTACAGCTACAACTAGCAAGTAGCACTTGCTAGTTGTAGCTGTAAAAATAGCACCTTCCTCTTGTTGAACTCTTCTGGAACAGAAGTTTCCTATTGCTATACTGTCAAGCAGTATAAAGCACTTTTTTGCATGAGCTCTTTACAAATATTATCCACTTTGTTATAATGTATATATATGTGTGTGTGTGTGTGTGTGTGTGTGTGTGTCTTTATGTTGCAATAAAGTGGCAGAAATGGTCATTCACAACTTTTTTGAGCACCTGTGAGCGTTCTGCCTCTATTTAATTACTCTGAAAAAGTGATGTCTTTTGAAAATGGTGTGTCTGTAAGTGAATGATGGCCAGGTGTGTATATATATATATGAATGATGGCCAGGTCTACATGTGTATGTGTATTTTCTCACGTCCTGGAATTTATTGATCTACGTGTTCCCACAGTTATTATTTCATATCTATCATACAGTCTGCCACCTTAGTCGTATTTCCTTTATTTCATTTGACAGTATAGGACACTGCTCCTTGGGCCCCCCCCCCTTAACCACGAGTTCTTCAGCTGTATATTTGATAGTGTTTATCGGTTTCCTGAAGCCCTCAACTCTACCAGTGGGCAACAGTGTCCAAAAGTATCTTAAGTTCAACGATGAATGGACGTTATCAACGGTAATTCAACGTTGAATGGACGTTATCAACGTTAATTTAACGTTGAATGGACGTTGTTAACGTTAATTCAACGTTGAATAGACGTTGTTAACGTTAATTCAACGTTGAATAGACGTTGTTAACGTTAATTCAACGTTGAATGGACGTTATCAACGTTAATTCAACGTAGAATGGACGTTATCAACTTATATATTGTACCCATTGGACTATTATTCAAAAACAACACACCGTAACCCCAGGAGGACAAAATTCAGCATATTCCAATAACGCAGTTTAAAAAAAAATTCTCTCTATTACACTAATCAGTGACCAAACCACTGGAAGAATAAATTTGGCGAGATCACAATCTAACATTTTCGACTTTTTTAAACGATCCCTAAAAACATTTTCTTGAAAACATTCTTTTTAGAAAACATTCTTTTCTAGGCATCAAACCTTAGGTCACTAAATTCACGGTTTCCGGAAAGGTAAGGTAAGGGGGATTTTTCAGGAAAGAGCGCTAAGCCATTATAAATATATAGCACTTGGAAAGAATACGAGGAAAAGGACGGTACCTAACCGTTTGGAAAAGTCGGGGGATTGAACGCCGACCTGTAAGAAGCGAGATTGTCGCTCTACCGTCCAGTAATATTTCTCTTGTTTGTTAACATTTTAGTCCAGTGTTGTAATCCAGTGGGTGAACCCCTTGTGTGAATGATTTCAGAAATTTCCTTAACTAGTACTTGCCGATTTATGAAAAGAAAAGCATTTTTTTTAAGTGCATGTGGCGACTCTAAATTTATAATTTTAAAAAGTTACAAAACGCTTTTAGAAACAGATTTTTGTTTCTGTCTTTGGTTCAAACCACTGGATGACACTTCGTTCAAAGTTTTCAGAAAGTATAATTTTTGTGTAATTTTTCATCTGTCTCACATTTTTTTTAGAGTTCTTATAAAAGAACCACCTGCGATCACATTTTTAAAAAGGTAAAAAAAAAATCGATATATGAAAAGTGTGGCTATTTAGGACCGACACAGGGGCCCAAGCCCCCATACAGTGACGATACTAAGCTCATCGTTGCCATAACTGTTTTTTTTTTTTTTTAGATGGGTTTGCCATTCTTTTCGGCTACTTATTAAGTGGTATCTGGAACACCAGTCTTAGAGTGACACTTAGTAGTTATAGCACTCAGTCTATGGCGCATTTTCTAGTTCTAACACTTTTTAGTTTAAACACGTATTAATTGTAGCATCTACTAATTGTAGCACTTACTAGTTATAGAACTTGCTAGTTGCACAACTTTCTAGTTCTAGCACTAGAAAGTGACAGTGATTCAACTAGAAACTTGTCCAACTTTGTTATACCACTTTCTTTGTGTCTGAGTTAAGAATAAGACTTATCCAAGATAAGACTTGATTTTATCCAAGACGAGTGTGTGTGTGTGTGTAACTCTAAGCTGTTATGACGTGGAAATTGTCATTGGTAACGTTGTGTTACAAGTTGTGAGCCTGCTGGCTTTTATGAATAACAAGTCTGTCCACTTTAATTACTCTGGTTCTGGGCGGAATAGTTGTTGGAACACGATGAACCGTGAAAATTAACCGAGCTGTTGGTGCTGCGATTATCATAAAATATATATATGCAGAAATAGAAATTGAATGCCAGCGAGATGCATTTAAAAATTTATGTTTATTAAAAGTGCTTTATCCGTATGTAAATGACTGTTCGGTGTACCTGTGAGTACCTATATATATATATATATATATATATATATATATATATATATATATATATATATATATATATATATATACACGGCTTCTTAAAACGGTCGCACTATTAATCAAGACCAACGCCGGAACCCCAGGATAACAAAATTCAGGATTTTCAAACGGAAACATCAATCTCTTTGATGTTTCTCTTTATATTCATCAAACTGCGGGGAAATAATAAATTCGTCACTTTCAAATTCGAGTATTTTTCGATTTTTTCAAACGATTTCTTATTTTATCAGTTCCTGGGGCCCAAATCCAGGGATGTCACTAAATTCAAGTTTTTCAAAAAGTGATATTTCACCCCGTTTTTAAACGCTTTCGATATTACTCTAATCCAGCTGTTTCTAATGCAAGTTTTGTTTGTTTTAGAAAACAGTTTCATTTTACTCTTCTTGTGAAAAATAATCCTCAAGACGACACTTAATTCAGGGTTTTCAGAAAGTGGCATTTCTTGTTATTTTAAATCAACCTTACAATTTCCTCAGGTCCTTACGTAATCACCACCTAGGATCACAGTCATTAACAAAAATAATAAAATATATCGATATATGAAAAGTGATGTTTCAGTCTTAGGCTGCATCTCCAGTGATGCTAAACTTAGCGTTTTCTTGTTATTGCTTGTGATTTGTCGTTATGGTGCCGTCATTCTCTCGGGGCCTTATTAGATGGCATTTGGAGCCGCATTCTTATGTAGCGAGAGGGAGGCGGAGGAGGAGGATGAAGGGGACTGGGGATGCTGTGGGGGGGGGGAGGGGGAAGGGGAAGGTAAGGGGTAAAGGAGAGGACCAAGGGGGGGGGGGGGAGTGAATATAGGGGAGTGGGAGAAGAGGCAAACTATCGGTCGCGCCCCCTAGTATATTATATATACCCCACTAGTATATTATAAATACCCCCTAGTATATTATAAATATATGATAATTAGTCATTCGTACTTTACTGCATGAAGTTCTATTCATTTGACAATGTAAACTCTCCTGAGCCTTCTGACCTGTTGTCAAAGGTAAGCGTTTTCGGAAAGTAGTATTTTGTGCAGGTTCTCCACCCCCCTCAGTCACTCACACTCACTCAGTCATCTGCAGGTAACCGCACGATAACATAACTCAGCGTTCTGAAAATTTAGCATATCATAATTTTGTCAACCTGTCTCTTAATTTATTTGGTTCTTGTGCCTAAATACCAGGGTGTCGTACTATTTAGTGTTTTTGGAAAAAATACCATTTGTTTTGGTATAAAAGCTTTCCCTATTACTCGAATCCAGTAGTCAAACCCCGTGTAAATGAATTCAGCGACTTGTCAACAAAAAAATAAAATTGACACATTATCGTCATTTCTTTTGTTCCTGTGCCAGTACCTCGGGATCACAATATATTCTGAACTATTAACAAAATTCCAAGCTTCTGCTCCTAGAAATTAGTGTCGCTATTTTTTCCTGTCCTTGGCTCAGACCGCAGGTGGATATTTAATGAAGCATTTTCACAAAACTAGCATTTCTTTTTCCTCTTAAATCGATCACACGATGTTCTGGGATCCTTATGTAACAACCGCGTTGGATTACATTATTAAAAAAGGATGAAAAAGGATATCGCAAATTAATCGATATTTGAAAAGTTTTGCCATTTTTTCTATACTATGCGTCAGCCCCAGTGATGGGATTATACTCAACCTTTTCATAATCTATCTCATGCTATTTTATTGTATTTCTATTCTCTCGGGTCCCTATTAGATGCGTCTGGAACAAGAATCTAAATACAACTGTTTTGCGAATATTACATTATTTTGTGTCTTCGGCCCAAGCTGTATGATTGTGACAGTGTTTTTGAGCATATAATTGACAGTGTATGGAGCTAGACCCCCGACGCGCCTATGACCATCCCCAGATATAGACCAGTCACCTTGCAAAGTTTCGCGCGGCTAGCCCCAAGTGTCTGGCCCCACTCCTCGATCTGTCAAACATTATCTTTTAAAGATGCAGATTTAGGCAATGTAATTTAGGTTGAAGAACTCCTCGCTTCCCCACAGGCCCAGCTGGTGGTATATGACTCCCGCTTGCAACACAACCTAAAGGCTAAATTATTTTTATTGCAGCGTTAACCCTACCAGATAGTAGGTATAGGGTTGTATAGAGGCTCAATATAGGCGCTGTTCTCTATATGATCAGTGCTTGTAACTGTGGCGAGCTTTATAATGTACACGTTCCTCTACGTTATAAACTCATAGGTCTAACTTGTAACAACACTTACTGGCTGTAGCACTTTCTAGTTGTAGGCGTCACTAGTTGTAATACTTTCCAGGGTTTAAACACTTTTTAAACGTAGAACTTTCCACTGGCAGAACTCTCTATCCGTGGCACTTCCTCTGGGCAACACACCATTAATTTTTTTTATCCTGATGAGTTTGTAATTGAAACTGTTATGATGCCGTGGAAATGGTCATTCATGACATTACATCACAAGTTGTGAGCGTTCTGGCCATTGTCAATGACATGTTCCTCCACTTTAATTACTCTGGTTGTGGGCGGAACGTTATTTTTTTTCCACTGTGAATTACGTATGTGATATGATTAACCTGTGAAAATTAACTGTGCTGTTACTTCTGCAATTATGTCCTAAAATGTAAATGTAAATTGAAGGCTAGTGAGTTACATTTAAAAATATATTTTGAAAGTGCTTTGTACGAATGTAAATGACTGCTGGGAGTACTTGTAAGTGTTTAATATGCAATGGATTTTATTTGTGTGTATTCTTACATGTAATGATTTATTTCTGATATAGTGATATACGTCATTTTTGTTGCACTAAACTGTCTCTTCACTTGACAATATGAGCAAACACTTCCGAACAACCAACGTCTTCAAAAGCAATTTTTTTTCTTTAATTAATAATTCCGTTCTAAACAAAAAAAAATTGGACTCTTACCAACGCCGTAACCCCAGTGAAGGATGACAAAATTCAGCGTTATGGAAATCTAACATTTTCTCAATTTATAAAAAGATCTTTTAATTTTCTCGTTCTGGTTTCAAATTCCAGAATATCACTATTCAGTTTTTTTTTTTAAGTATCAATTCTCCTGTTACTATAACGTTTTTCTATCACTTTAATCCAGCGGGCAAACTCACGTGTGAACGAATTCATCGATTTCCAAAACTAATATTTTCCTGCTTTTGACAACAGTATCGTAATTTTTTTTATATGTTTCCAAACTCCTGGATGACATTAAATTCTGAATTGTCAAAAAGTTACAACAAAAAAATTGTTTTTAGAAACAGTCACCATTGTTTTATTCTCCTTGGCACAAACCACAGGAGGATAGCTAATTCAGCGATTTTTAAAAAGATAGCATTTCTTGATATTTGAAATATATTTCGAAATATTCTTTGGGTCTTCATATAAAGTAACGCGGAGATCTTCCTTCCCCAACAGTAAAGAAAACAAATCTCCAAACACACTCCACTACTACCACAAACACTCCACCAATGTCAGTACCACTCGGGAGTCAGTACCACTTGGGAGTCAGTACCACTCGGGAGTCAGTACCACTTGGAGTGTCGTCTGGTTAAGTCTCATCCCTTGTGAGAGAATTCTGCGTTACCTGTAGAGGTACACACGCACATCAGTGTACCTGTTGTCATGTTCCACGTCCCTCAACACTGTTCATGTGGCATTCCTCTGTTGTTGATGATCACGTGACCTCTACTCTAGACACAAGTGGTTACTTCCCTTCTTAATTGGTACTCCTCTCGAGAAACATTCAGGGTCTTGTATTATTCCCTCGCGATATCGACCGGATCACAGAGATAAGACAAAACTTATGTTGTAAAATATAACATTTAATGAACGAGAACAAAGATGGCCAGCAAAGCTTTTGTCCCAAGCCTAACATGTACATGCACGGCTGAACTGGTTTAAATTCCCTAATAATATAATATCGCCTATTTATTATCTAATACTTTTGGCCATATACACCTGTCTTCTCTAGTGTGTGTGTGTATATATATATATATATATATATATATATATATATATATATATATATATATATATATATATATATATATATATATATATATATATATATGTCGTACCTAGTAGCCAGAACGCACTTTTCGGCCTACTATGCAAGGCCCGATTTGCCTAATAAGCCAAGTTTTCCTGAATTAATATATTTTCTCTAATTTTTTTCTTATGAAATGATAAAGCTAACCATTTCATTATGTATGAGGTCAATTTTTTTTATTGGAGTTAAAATTAACGTAGATATATGACCGAACCTAACCAACCCTACCTAACCTAACCTAACCTATCTTTATAGGTTAGGTTAGGTTAGGTAGGTTAGGTTGATGAAAAACAACTAATTCATGAAAACTTGGCTTATTAGGCAAATCGGGCCTTGCATAGTAGGCTGAGAAGTGCGTTCTGGCTACTAGGTACGACATATATATACACACACATATATATATGTATATATATATATATATATATATATATATATATATATATATATATATATATATATATATATATATATATATGTGTGTGTGTGTGTGTATTCACCTAGTTGTGTTTGCGGGGGTTGAGCGTTGCTCTTTCGGCCCGCCTCTGAACTGTCAATCAACTGTTTACTTACTACTTTTTTTTCTTTTCTTTTTTCCACACCACACACACACACACACACACACACACACACACACACACACACACACACACACACACACACACACACACACACACACACACACACACACAGGAAGCAGCCCGTGACAGCTGACTAACTCCCAAGTACCTATTTACTGCTAGGTAACAGGGGCATTCAGGGTGAAAGAAACTTTGCCCATTTGTTTCTGCCTGGTGCGGGAATCGAACCCGCGCCACAGAATTACGAGTCCTGCGCGCTATCCACCAGGCTACCAGGCCCCATATTTTACACACACACATATTTTGTGTGTGTGTATTGTGTGTGTGACACAAAGGATGTATTAAACGCACGAGCCATAAATTACTACGAACTCTACTGACCCAGCCAGGATTCGAACCAGTGCCGCCCAGAAAAACCATCAAGCGTACACGGTACAGTAACCACCTCACCAATGATCGTCTATAAGAATTGGTTAGTCCTGGAGCTTTGAATTACGGGCTCACCATAGCCCGTGCTACATGGACACTTCGTCCTGAGTAGCTAAATCTTTAACAACAACATGGAGCTTACTCCGCTCCTGTGCCAGGTCAGTCCACTACGGGCTCACCATAGCCCGTGCAACTTGCCCCCTCCTGTGCCAGGTAAGCTACGGGCTCACCATAGCCCGTGCTACTTGGAACTTGTTCCGAGTAGCTGAATCTATGGCAACAACATGGAGCTTATTATCCGGGGTTACAGAAGTTACAGCGGAGCTGTAACTTCTTTACCTTAGAAGTTACAACCCCGCTCCTGTGACAGGTAAGTCCACTACGGGCTCACCATTGCCCGTGCTACTTGGAACTTTTTGTTCCTCGTAGCTGAATCTTAAACAACAACAATAACATAGAGCTTACTAACTAAGCTCCAGGACTAACTGACCCCCGATGCATCTTAGAGTAGTTAGGAGAAACCGATTGCTTTGATTGTTCAGAATGCTTCGTATTTGAAATGTTTCACTTTGTTATACACCGTGCTTGTTAGTGGGTTATATATACTGAGTTATGTATATCAGTATATAACGTTGTTATACCGAGTTATACATGGTGCTTGTGAGTGGCTCAAATGAATAATACATTTGTGGAATATACATGTAGACCGATCAGACCATCAACGAAGTGAGCGCTCAGACCATCAACTAAGTGACCGATCAGACCGTCAACCAAGTGACCGATCAGACCGTCAACCAAGTGAGCGATCAGACCATCAACCAAGTGACCGATCAGACCATCAACCAAGTGAGCGATCAGACCATCAACCAAGTGACCGATCAGATTGTCAACCCAGCGACCGATCAGATTGTCAACCCAGCGACCGATCAGATTGTCAACCAAGCGACCGATCAGATTGTCAACCCAGCGACCGATCAGACTGTCAACCCAGCGACCGATCAGATTGTCAACCCAGCGACCGATCAGATTGTCAACCCAGCGACCGATCAGACTGTCAACCCAGCGACCGATCAGATTGTCAATCCAGCGACCGATCAGACTGTCAACCCAGCGACCAATCAAACTGTCAACCCGTCGGTCTTCAGAGGACGGGATCACGGGTGCTGGAGCCCCAGGGACCACTACCCGGGAGATTCAAGGTCACCTCAAAGAGAAAATATTTCACTGCGAAAGAGACGTTGAATGACATCAAGAATGAATGATATTTTGAGGATAATAAAATACGTTTCACTAATCTAGTTGCAAATTGCTAAGCAAATATGTATAAAGTGGGAAGAGTACGGGAGTTGAAGCTCAAAATAATTCCCTCAAGCTGAATGACCTCCCGACCATATAATAGAGCCAAACTACTGATTTGGCTCTATTATATGGAGTTATTTGCAAACAAAAACGCAAACTTCGCTCTGTGGTTAGAGCTGTGCCAGTTCCGTGCTGGGAAGGAAGGACCTGCTTGGAAGGAACCTGCTCTTGGACGCAGGTTCGAATCCTCGTCACGGCCCTTGTGGATTTGTTCACTGGAAGGAAGGAATTATCAGGAGAAGCGCCAAGCCATTATGACTATATACCACTGGGAAGGGGTCAGGATAAGGATATGGGAAGGGACGACGGGTGAGGAATGGTGCCCAACCACATGGACGGTCGGGGAATTGAACGCCGACCTGCATGAAGTGAGACCGTCGCTCTACTGTCCAGCCCAAGTGGTTGGGCTTCCGTGCTTGGAATGCATGGTGATACAATGATGAAGTCATCACACGACTTAATGGTCGTCGACGGACACGAAACGTCGTCGTTTCTCCATTTTCTGTTGTGTGGTTTAGTCGTATCTTCACCCCACGTGGTTGCGGCTCGCCGTCTGCGAATGCCTCACCCTCATATATACAAGAGACAAAAAACGCCAAACATCTACTGGAACTTAAAATGAAATGTTTGGGGGAAGTTAGTGGATGGCTGCATAAATATTGGCCTGGTATACATCAGCATATATATGCAAATGCATTAACCAAAACAGAGCATGAATGGAAGACGGGTTGTTTGTCGAGGACATATTTCATGTGCGCGCTTGAGGGGCGGGAGCACCAACTAGTTCCTGAGCGAAGGATAAGCGATTTGGAACGTTGTTCAGAGGTGGACAAGTGGTGTGGGACTTTGTTGAGAGATGGCCTGGTTGTGTGGACCTTTCTTGGACCAGGTTGTGTGTAACATTGATGAGACAATGCGTCTGATGATGAATGTGTCCGTATTGGTCCACGGTGATGAATGCGGCCATGGGTATCCGAGCCTGGTGCGGGGCAAGTGCACACCTCTTGTACTTTTGTGTCCTTTCAACAAAATAATTGGTTCATTGTTGCCTGAATTCTTGAACCATCCTGCAGATACTGACATGTCAGCTGTTGTGTCATGGTTAGTAATTAGCGTTGCTCCGACTCTCATTGTTCTCTCAATCAGTGCTAGACTGCACTATGTAAATGCCTGCACTCTTCCAATTAATTACATGTTTTGCAGTTTCACCTGCAATGTTATTCCCAGGTATTCCTACATGACTTGCCGCCCAGTTAACATATATTTAACAAGATTGATGTTTAATGGTTTGCACTAATGCTATAAATTGTGTAATCAATTGGGTGTTATCAAGTGTCGTATGTGATCAGTAAGAGCGTGTTCTAAAGCTTCGTGAATGAAGAGCGTATCTATAAAGTGAAATACCAGTCTGCGGTCCTAAAACTAACTATATAATTTAATTCTTTAACTATTGTTCCTAGTGCTTGTCACTCTTGGTCTACTGATACATCTGTGAAGTATATGGAGCTCTTAGATATCAAGTTTACTTCTTGAATTCATACGTATACTGATGTGTAGTAAATGGGGGATAGTTTGATTCTTTTTGTGATGCTAATTTACCTATAATCTGGCTCGAGCCCATTTGTGGTGCTGGTAGTAGTAGTATTATTAGTGGTGGTAGTGGTAGTAGTAGTGGTATTGGTGGTGGTGATTGTAACGTTAGTCTTGGGTGTGGACAATGACACCTTGGAGGATGAGAAGGCAATCTAGGAGAGCAGGACGAGACGATTTATGGAAGACACGGATCGTGTTCCCTCACCTGAAGTGATGTATTGGGGGAGTGGGGGGGGGGTGTTCGGTGGGGGTGAGGGGGGGGGGTTATGGGGGATATTTGTCCAGGCGGGGTGTAATGGAAGGGTGCTAGGGTGGGGTAGAGATTGAGTACGGTGAGAGTGAGAGTGGGGGAAGGTGAGAGTTGTGGTGGGGATTGATCAAGGAGGAGAAAGTGAGGGGGGGATGATGATGAGATTGGGAGGGGGGGTGTGAGAGTGGGGGACGAGGGGTGGTGGTAATACGTAAAAAGAAAACTCAATGGGATTTGATGGGATATTGGATAAAAGAAGTGGTGGTGAGGAGGGGGGGGGGGGGTTGAAAGTCACATTCCATGTAGTGAGATAAACAGCAAGTGTCGACCACTGACATCTGGGGCGTTGTGAGTAGGTGGTGAAGGACGGTCACCCGGGTTAAGGATGTGATTCTAACTTTTTGTTTGTATTGAAATATAATTCGTGTGTGTGTGTGTGTGTGTGTGTGTGTGTGTGTGTGTGTGTGTGTGTGTGTGTGTGTGTGTGTGTGTGTGTGTGTGTGTGTGTGTGTGTGTGTGTGTGTGTGTGTGTGTGTGTGTGTGTGTGTGCGTGTGTGTGTGTGTGTGTGTGTACTCACCTAGTTGTACTCACCTAGTTGTGTTTGCGGGGGTTGAGCTCTGGCTCTTTGGTCCCGCCTCTCAACCGTCAATCAACAGGTGTACAGATTCCTGAGCCTATCGGGCTCTGTCATATCTACACTTGAAACTGTGTATGGAGTCAGCCTCCACCACATCACCCCCTAATGCATTCCATTTGTCAACCACTCTGACACTAAAAAAGTTCTTTCTAATATCTCTGTGGCTCATTTGGGCACTCAGTTTCCACCTGTGTCCCCTTGTGCGTGTTCCCCTTGTGTTAAATAGACTGTCTTTATCTACCCTATCAATCCCCTTCAGAATCTTGAATGTGGTGATCATGTCCCCCCTAACTCTTCTGTCTTCCAGCGAAGTGAGGTTTAATTCCCGTAGTCTCTCCTCGTGTGTGTGTGTGTGTGTGTGTGTGTGTGTGTGCGCGTGTGTGCGTGTGTGTGTGTGTGTCTGTGTCTCTGTACTCACCTATTTGTGCCTGCAGGATTCCCCCTTTCTAGCCTTCGGTTGTTTAAAGCAATGACTCTTGTCCTTATCTATTATAACTAGTTTTAAAGCTATGAATAGTGTTTGCTTCCACAATGTGCTCCTTTAGTTCATTCTATTTCCCCACTTCTCTCACGCTAGAAGAAAACTTTTTAACATCTATATGACTCATCTGAGTTTCCAGCTTCCCCCTCCCCCCACCCCGTGTCCCCTCGTTCTGTTGATATTCAGTGTGAACATTTCGTTATTTCAATCTGTCAATACCCCCTAAATATTTTTTTATGCTGCTATCATATCTCCCGGCCCCCTCCTTTTTTTTAGCGTCGTCAAGTTCAGATCCTTTAGTCGCTCTTCATATTCCATCCAAAGCAACTCCGGGATTACCCTCGTCGCAAATTGTTTAACCTTTTCCAGTTTCTTAATGCGTTTCTTTAGGTGGAGGGATCAATGATGGGGATGCATACTCTAAGACTGGTCTCACGTAGGCAGTGTAAAGCGCCTTGAATGCCTCTTTACTTAGATTTCTGAATGACATTCTAACTTTTGCCAGTGTAGAGTACGCTGCTGTCGTTATCCGATTTATATGTACCTCAGGAGTTGGATTAGGTGTTTCGTCACGCCCAGATCTTTTTCTCGAACCGTCACAGATAGGCAGTTTCCTTTCATTGTGTACTGGCCCTTTGGTCAGCTGTCACCTAGTCCCATTTCCATAACTTTACAATTGCTCGTGTTGAACACCAGTAGCCATTTTTCTGACCATCTCTGCAGCTTGTTCAAGTCGTCTTGGAGGATCCTACAATCCTCATCTGTCACAACTCGTCTTATTAATTTCGCATCATCCGCGAACATCGACATATAGGACTCGAATCCTATAAACATGTCGTTCACGTACATTAGAAATAGAACTGGTCCCAGCACCGATCCTTGAGGTACTCCACTCGTTACAGTTCGCCAGTCTGACATCTCGCCCCTGACTTACTCTCTGGCTCCTGCCTGGTAAGTAATTCTTTGCCCAAGCTAGGGGCTTTTCCGCTTACTCCCGCCTGCCTCTCAAGTTTGAATAGCAGTCTCATGTGCGGTACTGTGTCAAAGGCTTTTTGGCAGCCCAAAAATATGCAGTCTGCTCATCCTTCCCTGTCCTGCCTTATTCTTGTTACTTAATCATAGAATTCCGGAAGGGTTGTTAGGCATGATTTCCCTTCTCTGAACCCATGCGTGTTCAGAGAAGTGTGTGTGTGTGTGTAGTCACTTAATTGTATTTACCTAATTGTGTTTGTGGGGGGTTGAATTTCAGATCTTTGATCCTGCGTGATCAAGTCCCCCCGTCCTCCAAAGTTTCCCAACGTCAAAAAAAAAAAAACGGTCAAATTAAAATGTTTTCTTCTAACCTACCAGAGGAGCCAAAATAGAAAACGGGACACTACGTCACTTTCGCCAGCCGCTTCCATTTTCAAGTATGACAAATTTTGGCCTTATGTAACGCATACGTTCAAAATGTGACTTTCTGTGTAAGAGGACAGAGTGATCAAGTCGCCTGTACTGGCAAACTTTGCAAGCATTATGAAAATATCCTCAAGAACACGGGAGTGAAGGAAGTAATTACAAAGCCCCAGGTACTTGATGCCAGCCAGGTCTGTATTGTCTGATGATATTCAGTAATGTAGTATGTGAGATCATGACCCAGTTCTTGCTCACAGAGATTTGCATAAATTATTTTTGTATTAACACACTAAGATACATCTGCACTTGTGCAGCTTCCCTAGACTATATGAAGGGGAGTACAGTGTCACAAAGCTAGCTACGTGGTGCTAAAAATTCCCATCACACAGGATGGTTAGTCATACAGAGGCATGTGATAAGTAGTCTGCACTGGCAGACTCTGGGTGCATTATGAGGATATCATCATCAACACAAGAGTGAATAAGGCAGCAGTGATACCAAAAGTCACCATCTCGCAGGATGGTTAGTCATACTGGGCCATATGTT